GTAAGCCTGGAGCCTTGTGCATGCTAGGCAAGCATTCTAGCAACCAGCTCCATATCCCCAGCCCAGTTTAAAGGTTTTTTTAAACTTTATTTATTATTATTACTATTGTCACTGTGTATGCTGCATGTATGATGGAGGGGAGCACGTGTATACACACATGGTGACTAGAGGGCAGCTCCTTGCCATCGACACTCTCCTTCCACTTTTACGTGAGTCAGGGGGGTCAAAGGCTGGTGGAGGTAAATGCCTTTACCTTGTGTGCCATCATCTCTGCCCCTAAAGGTCTTGATTGACTTTCTTTTTCATTATAGAGCTGGCAGTACTTCATCCCATAACACAGAATAAAAGAAAAGTTCAGTTTTATAGACAGAAAAAGACAAGAAGACAAACAGACAAAAGTAGATTGGTCATTGCAAAATTACTTTCCTCAGAAAGCATGGCTGGGAGACAGAGCCAGAAGAAAATGATTGCTAGTTATCTGGGATAGCTTATTTTATTGAAGGACTATGGTATACAGAATGTTGTTCCTGAGATGTCTCAGTAGATATAAGCCCTTGCTGGACAACCATGAGGACCTAAGTTCAAATCCCAGCTCTCTGTTACAAGCTAGACATAGACCTAGGTGTACCTGTAACTGGAATTAGCATTTTTTTTCCTTTTAACGTCCCCCATCCCCCCAGACAAGGTTTCTCTGTGTAGCCGTGGCTCTCCTGGACTCACTCTGTTGATCAGGCTGGTCTTAGGCTCAGAGATCCGCTTGCCTCCGCCTCCCGAGTGCTGGGACTAAAGGTATATGACACCATTGCCTGGCTTCTTTTTAATTTTGACTATTTTACTTCTTCTGGTTTATTATTTTTTTCCAAAGACAGGGTTTCTGGTGAGGTGACTTTCTTTTGAGACATACACCAACATTCCCAGGTGTATCTTTCAAATTGAGTATCCTTTTTCTCTTAACTCCAGTGCTTAGAACATGTCTCTACAAAAACAGCCACTCAACTGTTGGTATAATGTTCTTGTGGAATGTATACAATTCATCCTTGTTCATTCAAATGCTGATTTTCTCTACCCCACTATCTGGTTTCAATTTGGACATTGCATTGTGATGTTTCTTTTTCTAAGCATCACCTGTCTCAAGTTTGTGTGAACATGCCACCATTTGTTCTCTGTATTTTCAACTAAACATCCAGCCAGTGCTGAGCAATGGAGAGAATAGGGAGGGACATCCTGGTCCAGAGAGGGGGAGAAAGAAGCAAGTGTGAGGAGTTGGAGGAGATCTGTAGGAGAGGCCTTGGAACCATGAGCAGAGATGAACAGGACCTAAGATATGATTAAAAGCAAGTTTAATGTGTGAAATCTGAATGGGAGGAAACTATGTGGGCTTGGAGTTTTAGGATGGAATAAATATTGCCCAGCATTGTGCTCTAGGTTAATTAAATAAATCCTAGTCTCTGTGTGGTGATTTGGGTATACAGCTGGTTTAGGAATAACCACTGCTTAACTAAAAGATAAATCAATATTAAATATTAATAATCAACAACACTCAACCTAAAAAAAAAATTACAGGGTCTCAGCTCAGTATGTTAGTCAGGTTGGCCTTGAACTTGCAGGATGCTTTGTCCCAGCTTCCCAAATGCCTATGTCTGACCTTTTTCCTAGTTCTTTAAAAGGTCAGATAAGTAGATTAATTTGATTTTGGTTACTATGGTACTTTAGAATAATGACTTAATTGTTATTTTAGCCTGTTTTTTTGTTTGTTTGTTTGTTTTTTTGGTGGCCTACTGCATGTACTTAGCCTTGTAGTTTTTGTTGATGTTTATTTGGTTTGGTTGGTTTAGTTTTTATTGCACTCATTGACCTATAGGAATGTATGTATGTATGCATGGTTCGTGTGGAAGTCAGAAGACGGCTTACAGGAGTTGGTTCTCTCCCTCCACCATACAGGCAGGGCCTGGGAATTGAACTCAGGTTATCAGGCTTCAAGGCAAGCACCTTTATCTGCTGCGCCATGTCAGTTGTTATGGTTTGATCTTTTGAGAGAGAGTCTCATGTAACCCATGCTGCCTGTATGTAACTGTATATAACCATGTTGTTCGTAACTGTATGCAACCCATGCTGATTGTATGTAACTGTATGTAACATGACACTGACTACTAGATTCTTAGTGTGAGCCACCAAGCCAGCTTCCTGTGATTTTTTTTTTTTTTTTCTTTTTAGACAGGGTCTCTCTACATAGCCCTGGCTGTCCTAGAACTGACTATGTGGAGATCAAGCCGGCCTCAGACTCACAGAGATCATTTTCCTCTGCCTCCCAGGCACTGGCATGAAAGGTGTGTGCCATTACACTCTGGACTAGTTACCCCTACTATTGGAATAGATCTCCCAGGAATACCCAAATCATGGGCAATTTGCTAGTCATCAACGCTAGGGAGCACTCAAGCATGTATTTCTACATGCTTTCGCTTTAGTTTCAGTCCTTGGAACACACACAGAAATCCACACCAATTTCATGTTTCTGTTTCACTCTTTACTTCTGACCCTTCCCCAAGAATGTGCTATGTAGCTCTTATCACAGTCCTGACATGACTTTTATTGTTCTTTTGAAACATGTTCTCAGGTAGCCCAGGAAGGCCTCCAACTCACTCTATAACAAGACTGACCTTGGGCTCCTGATCCTCATGCTTCAATCTCCCAAGCACTGGGATTATGGTGGTGGTGGTGTTCTGTCTCTATGATCAGCTGTGTGCCATTTCTCCTCCCCTAGTTACCCACACCTATTCCAGACTGTATAAGTACAGTCTGCTTAATACATATGTTTTAAAAAATGGCCAAAGGGACCCAAAAATTCTAGAGAAAACCTTTTTGTTGTTTGTTCATTTTGTTTGGTTTCTCTGTGTAGCCCTGGCTGTCCTGGAACGATCTTTACAGACCACGCTGGCATCACACTTACAGAGGTCAGCCTGTCTCTGCCTCTCGAACGCCTCACCAATTAACCAAACATATTTGCCCTTGCTTTTCCTTTGAGACAGGGATTTACTGTGCAGCTCTAGGCTGGTCTCAAACTCATGATTCTCCAGCTGCAGCCTCCTGAGTACTGGGATCATTGGCATGTGCTCCCCTGACCCTCCCCTCAAAGGTTGTTTTATGGAGATAAAAACCTCTCAGGTTATCTCTTAGTCACTCTTTAAAAAAAAAAAAAAAGACCTTTAGCCTTTTCTCTCTCTGGTGGCTAATCTTTCTTCTTAAATGGATTTCCTGAGAATCACCTTCCTCCTGGAAAGTTCAGACCCTTTATCTCTCTGTGCTTTGGGAATGATTAAGATACAGGAGGGGCCGGTCAAAGAAACCCTGAGCTTGCTCTTAAATTCACTGTTCTTTGGGGTAACCTTTCTAACACGATTGGGAGGCCCTGACGGCGAGCAAACCACAGAAAGGTCCTGCTGAACTCTCCTGAGAGCTTATCTGGAAGTAGAGGAACAAAGATAATCACACAATGTCAACTGAGGAAGGTCCTCCTCTGTCAGAAAAGGCCATTCTCTTCCACCCAACACGCAACTTGAGGAGGGATGCTAGCAATGAAGGAGGAAGGGAATCTGCCTTGCCAGCCAGATCAGCCAAGTCAGTCTGGGTGATCAAGTGGGGTGACAAATGTCAGATACACTCACACCCTTGAGCTCTCTTCTCTGCTAGTCCTTGTCTTGGCTTTCCATGCCCTTTCTCAATCAACCCATTCTAAGTCAGTTTGGAGAGAGGTCTTGATACCAGATCAGTTTCACCATCCATTAAGATGTAGAACTCTTGGCTTAACAATAGCAAGAATTCTGTTGGTTCAGCTTAGCAAGAATCTCCATATCATGATGTCTCCTCTCAGTACTTTTCCATGCGCTGACACCCTTATTCTAGTTCCCGTACTGTAAATTCCCTGTCTTTGCTATATTTTAGTTTGACTGCACCCTGACATATCTATTGCGACAGTAATTGCCTCTTGCCATTTTTCACGATTCAAAAGCTATAAAATAAAAGATTGCAGGGCAGTAGCTCACACCTTTAATCCCACCATTCAGGAGGCAGAGGCAGGTGGATCTTTGTGAGTTACAGGCCAACAAGGGCTACAAAATAAAATCCTGTCCCAGTAAACAAACAAACAAATATTATAATAATGATAAAATAAAATAAATGAGTGTTAAAAACCATCATTATCAGGATCAAGTTAAACTGAGAGAGTAAATTGTGATTTGTATCACCAAAGAAATATCCTTTAAGTAAAAGGGGTTGAGAGAGATGGCTCAATGGTTAAGAACACTTGCTGTTCTTGCAGAAGACCCAGGTTTAGTTTCAAGCACCCACACAGTAGCTCACAATAGCCTGTAACTCCAGCTCCAGGGATCTGACAACCAAGGGTATCACCATACACATGGCACATAGACACACATAACTTAAAAAAAAGAAAAGAAAATGCAGCCATCAATTTAAAAAAATAGGCAAAAAATCTGGATAGGTCACAAATAGAAAAAGGAAATATGAATGGTTCATAAAACTGTGAAAAGATATTCACAGGCATTCAAAAATGAGGAAAATTCAAATCAAGTACTGTGCAGACTAGTAAAGGTTTAAAAAAATTAAGCCTGGTCTACACAACCAGGGCTACATAGAAAATCCCTGTCTTGAGAAACAAAACAAAACAAACAAACAAACAAACAAAAACAAAAAACAAAACAAAATTTAAAAATTGATCATACACTGTTTGTGAAGCTTTAGACAAACATGTACTTTCCATGCATTGTTAAACAAAAGTCAAGAACTGGAGAGATGGCTCATCAGTTAGGAGCACTTGTTGTTCTTTCAGAGGACTGGGGTTTGGTTCCTAATGCCAAAACTCCAGGTCAAGGGGATCCACTGCCCTCTTTTGACCCCTTTTGGCACCACATATATACACAGTGTACATAAATATGTTCAGACAAAAAACTCTTACACATAAGATAAGCAGATTTAACATTTTTTAATTTAAAAAAATTAAACAGCTGGGCAGTGGTGGCACATACCTTTAATCCCAGCATTTGGAAGTCAGAGGAGGCAGATCTCTGTTTAGAAACAAAAACAAAAACAAACAAAAAAAATTTTTTAACCAAAAGTCAACTTTAGAAAGAAAGGGAGAAGGGCTGAAGAGATGAGTCAGATGGGTCATCTGTGTCTACGCCAGCCTTAAAGAAAACGGCTGGAGAGGTGGCTCAGAGGTTAAGAACACTGGCTGCTCTTCTAAAGGTTCTGAGTTCAATTCCCAGCACCCATATGGTGGGCTCACAACCATCTATAATGAGATCTACTGCCCTCTTCTGGCATGCCTACACATGAAGGCAGAGTACTTTATAAATAATAAATCTTTAAAAAAGAGAGCAAGGGGGACTTTAGATTTTACAGGATCTCCCAATTATAAATACACATGTCCTCTCTGGCTCAATCACCCCCCTACACAAATTTATCCTACAAACATACCCAATATGGGATATCCACCACACTGAAGGCTGTGCCCTGCAGCGTTATAAAAGTTATAAAAGAAAGGACTGCATCGTACTTAGTTTTGTTGTCAACGTGACGCAAGCTAGAGCTATCAGAAAGGGGGATTTTGATTGAGAAAATGCCTTTCACCGAACTTCATCAGATCACCTTTAGGCAAGCCCTGAGCTCCCACACGGTGGCTCACAGCCATCTCTGTAACTCCAGTCCTAGCAGATTTGGCTTCCACAGGTAGCAACCATACACATGGTGCACATACATAAATGCAGGCAAAGCACTTATACATATGAGGAAATCCTCTTTAAAGGTTATGTTTAAGAAAGAAAAGCAGGCTGAGCAAGCCATGGGAAGCAAGCCAGTCACCTCCGCGCTCTCTACTTTAGTTCCCAACTTGGCCTTTAAGCCAATTATACCCTTTCCTCATAGCAATGGCAACCCTCAGGCTGAACCACCACATACATCTGTCAGCTGAGGGCAAGTTAAATCCACAATACAAAGCACCATTCTTATCATTTCTATAATACTGTAATAAGAAAAAAAGGTGCTGAGAGTCTCAAAAGATCCACATGGTTGAAGATGGTCTCATAGTCTGAGAAGCTCTAGGAGAAACTTGTCCTGTAACAGAGACGCGCTGGGCTCCATATTTTCACTTTTCTTTCTGATTTTAAATCTTATTATTGTTACTGCATCTGTGATGTCTGTGCAGGTGTACCTGTGCCAGAGCAGGTGTGTGGAGGTCAGAGGTTACCCAGACTTGCAGAACAAGCACTTTCTCTGCTGGGCCTTGTTGGTTTTAAGAGGGGGTATAATAGTCTTAGTAGTTTGGGCTGTCCTCTAACTCCTAATGTAGGTGAAGATGACCTTGAATTCCTGATCCCCCTGCCTCTGTCTTCCAGCTCTGGGCTATCATAATTGGCTTTTTTTTCCTTTAATTTCTCTGTGTACATAAAGAAAGAAGAGATTACTTTCTTACCTTTTAGGATCAAGAAAGCACCAATGTAAGAGGGTAAAATAAGAGATTTCTTGGGTGTATTGAAGTCTCAAATGAAACCATGAATTTGCTAAGGTGCTATTCAGTATGGAATTTCTTCAGGAATGCTCATCAGCCTGGAGATAGGTAGGAGTGTGAGGACTAGGGTACTTTGGACTTGGTAAATGATCTAGAGAAGACTGGACTGATCTTTTGGTCTTTTAAGTGTGCTATGACTACAGATCCTGACTCTCTGGAGGTCCAGTTACTCGCTTTTGTTTTTCTCAAATTTCTGGGTTTGGGGAAGTGACATTCTAATCAAACAAGAAGGCAGTTGATAAAACAAATCCTTAACTGACATTTTAAGATGAAAATTATAAACTGGTTATGGTGGTACAGGCCTCTACCAGCTGCATTTATTTGATTAAAACATTAGGACACACTCTTTATGCTTACTGTCCATTTGAATTTCCTTTCTTAAGAGGCTACATGAAATACTGATAAGCAGGTTCTCGTTGTAGTTCTGGCTAGCCTGGAACTTGCTATTTAGACCAGGCTGGCCTTGAACTCCTGGAGATCCACCTGCCTCTGCCTCCTGAGTGCTGGGAGTTAAAGGCGAGTGCTACGGCACCTGGCTCCCCCCATTTTTCATTTGAGCACTTTTTGCTGTATATTTTTTATTCAGCAAGGTCGGCACTTACATGACTGGGTTTGGAATCACTAAGGACATCCGCCACTTTCTGAGTGTGTGAGGGTGCTTCCCAAGTGGTTGAACTGAAGAACTACTCACAATGTCAGCATCATCATCCCATGGATTAGCAGCCAGGGCTGAATAAAAATCGAAGAAGGAATGGAAGCATATCCTGCTCTCTGCTTCCCAGTCTTTCCAGCTGTGAGTCCTAGCTGTGTGTTCTGCCATGTCTTAAACCATGAGCCAAGACAAATCCTTTTCTCCTTAAGTGGTTTCCTGTTGAGTATTTTGTCACTGAAAAAAATCAGAGAAACCAATACAGTTGTTTCCCACATTGTTTAAGATATATACTCTTCTTTTGGTGTTCTACAACTTTTCAGTTTTCTCTAATTTTTTTTTTTTTTTTTTTGAGAAGGGTCTTGATATGAATCTCAAGCTGGTCTCCAATGAAGAGTGTCATGCCTCACTCTTCTGGCTTTTAGAGTATCAGGCATGCATCTCCATACCCAGCATCTATTATTTCCAGACAGAGTCTCAGGTGCTCAAGCTGGCCTTGAACTCTTGATTCTCCTTCCTCCAGTGAGTGCTAAGATTACAGCCATTTGCCATCACAGCCTTTTCATGTGTGTGGTGCTGGGATCAATCCCTGGGCCTCCATTGCATGCTAGGCAGGTATCCCACCAACTAAGCTGTATCTCATACCCTACCTTTAACTTTTTCACATTTAAATCTCGAACTTATGTTTTCAACGCAAAGGTCTCAAGTAACCCTATAAATCTGGTATATACCCCAAGTTGGCTGTAAAGTCCAGATACTTTTGCTTTCCCACTAAGTTCTTGAGATTTGGTTATTTTGGTCATTGTTATGAATAGGGCTTATTATTTTCTTTTTCAGTTTTTTGTTTGCTTCCCTAAAATATTTTCCATCTCTATTATAACTAGGCATTTATCTAGACTCCCCTTCCCCCAGAAAAAATTACTGTTCCTTTCATCCAGCCATTGTATCCTAATTCTATGTTTGTGTGTGTGTGTGTGTGTGTGTGTTTTATATTCAGGCATCTTGTGCAGAAGCCAACGTCAATGTCTTTTTCTATCACCCTTGCTTATTTCTTTGAGGTATGGTCTCTCCCTGAAACTGGAGCTCATTTTTTTATCTTTCTCCCCCACCCTCACCCCACCAGACTGAGAGCTATCAAACCCCAGATTTTCTTGTTTCCTCCATACCCCCATTCTGCCTCCAACAGTGTTGCAGTTACTGGCAAGCCTTGTTTGTTGCATGAGTCCTGGGGTCCAAGTTCAGGTCCTGATGCTTGTACGGCAGGCACTCTTAATCAGTAAGCCATGTCTCCAACTCTTTAGTTTATCCTTTTCAGATCTGTAGTCTCCTGTGCTCCAGAGATAAAGTGCTAGCTCTGGGACTTGCTAGCTTTATGACTGTGCCACAGTGCTGACATTGTAAGCTGCCTTGAAGGGTCTCTAACGAACCTATGAGAAGCTGCCTATGACCCATGATGGCTTTGTTCAGGCGTCATGGATGACAACACAATGCAGAGGCTCCTGGTGTCCGAGTTCTCAGCATTCTGCTATCTTCCAGTCTCCCTTTCCCCCCAGAGTCCTTCTGTGCTCCTTTTTTCCGTTTTGTAGAAAGCCTCATTTAAGTTGTATTCCAAGTGTAATACAGACACATTTACCACTTAAAAACAAAACAAACTCACCAGGATTGGTGGGAAACAAGAATGGCAGCTTATCTTGGATTCTTGAGGGGGCTTTCAGCTTGTCCACCCTGACTGTAGACACAGTTTGACCTTAGTTTGATCTTATCCGGTTTCAAAAATTCCACTCCTTTATTTTACTGCTTTGAATTTATCCGTGTAGAACAGGATCACCTTGAAACTACTGCTCCTCAGGCCTCCACTACCTTCTGAGTGCTGCCATTACACTAACGTTATGTCCCTCCTGGGCGCTGAACCCAGGACTTCATGAATCCTAGGCAATCAATCTACCAACCGAGCTACAAAATCAGCTCCCTTGTTTTTCGAGGCAGGTCTCATATAGCCCAGGCGGGCCTCGAACTCCTGATTTTCTTGGTCGCCATTTCCCAAAAGTCAGGATTACAGATATGTACTGATTCATTTGAGATGTTTATTAAAGATTTCTAGAAGATTAGTAAAGATTTCTAGAGTTTCCAGGAATCACAGTCAGGCAGTATATGCAGGATCATCTCCTTCCTGCTGTTCCAACTACTGCCTTCAAAGTGCCAAACAGCTAAAATCGTTTCCGGGGTCCCTCCCGGCGGAGGCTGAGTCAGAAAAACCGGAAACTCACACCCCTTCCCCAGCGTCCCCTCCCTGCCGCGCCTGCGCGTCACTCGGCGGCGGCGCGCTCGCCCGAGGCATTATGGTAGTTGTAGTCCCGCCACGGTGAGACTTTGGCGCCCACAGTCCCGTGACCCCGCTGCGCCTCAGCCCCACCCCTCAGTGTCCCTCCAGGGCCGCCGCGGGGACTGCGTACCGGGGCGCGGCGTTCGGGTCAAGTCAGCTGTCTCTCTGTGGGCAAAGGGCGGAAGCCGGAGCAGCCTGGGGCGGAGCTTCGCACGGAGCGAACGCCCGCCCGCCCGTCCTACGTGCTCGTTCGCCTCCGTCCGCTGCGCGCGAGCCGGGAGTCCCCGCGGCGGGCGGCGGCGGCGGCGGCGTTGGCCGAAGGCGGAGGCGGTGGAGGAGAGCCCGCGGCTGCCGCGGCGACAGCGAGATGGCGGAGACCGTAGCGGACACCCGGCGGCTGATCACCAAGCCGCAGAACCTGAACGACGCCTACGGGCCGCCCAGCAACTTCCTCGAGATCGATGTGAGCAACCCGCAGACCGTGGGGGTCGGCCGGGGCCGCTTCACCACCTATGAGATCAGGGTCAAGGTGAGGCGCCCGCCCCGCTCCCGCCACCCTCGGGTCGCGGCCGTTCGCCCCCGCCGTCCCCGGGTGGGGGTCCCCGAGTTGTCAGCGGCTGCCCAGGCCAGACCGTGCTGCAGACGCCCTGGGCAGCCTGTCTACGGACGGAGGCAAGAGCCTGGCTCTCTCCCTCCTTGGACGGTTTGTATAGGGACCAGCCCGCTGGCTCTGGCAGAAGGTGCTGGAAGAGGAGGGCGTGGGTTGATCTCTGCTCGCCTCTCGAGCAGCTCAGCTGGGCATGACATTTGAGTTGAAGAGGTAGATCTTTCGAGAACACTAGTCTCCGAAAAAGGGAGCTAGGTGTGACTGGGGGAAAGGGGGCTGTGCAAAGTTGAAGCCCTCCCTCCTTCCCTCTCTCTCTTTTTCCTGGACGCTAACCAAGACGTGGCCAAGCCAAGCTTAGCTGGTCTTTCCAGGCCTTTCTCAAGCTACAAGACTAACCTGGGTCTCTGAGCAGAACTTGACGGGAGTTCGCAAGAGCCTGACAAATATTTTGGTAGGGCCGAACCAAGCCTTAACAGTGGTGGGGAATGGTTGACCTTAGTGTTCAGGGCTGTAGTCCTGCTAAAGGCCTACGTGTGGGGAATGTCACCTACCTCGGTATCCAAGATAACAACTTGCCTAGGAAGGACATACTTACTCATTTAAATACCTTGCCCTCTTAATTTGTAGATTTTCACTTCACTTAAATGAAGGAATCAGCTGAAATAGAAACATACATTTAAAATTTCATACCTAGTATTTTTTTTTTTTTGGCAAAAAGTAATTAAGATTTTTTGAAAGATGCTAATGAAAACACTGCCTTTTACTCTGTAATTTCAGGAATAAAGGTTTTGTCCACATTTGAAAAAATTTTATTTTATCAATTCATTACTAAAAACTAAATACTAAAAATAACTGTAAGATAGTTTTGGCCTCAGAGGAATCATAACAAGTAATAATTACTGTTACTGTTAGCACTTAAATGAAGACATTTCTCATTAACTGTGTGTTAAACAAAATTTGCCATACTAGTCATTTTTTTAAGTTGTGTGGCTCAGCATTGCTACTTAGGTTGTGAAACTTAAACACTTCTTAAGAATGATTCTTATGTAATTAATGACTTGGGAAAAAGTTAATCATCAAACTTTTTTTATTTTTTTATTTTTTTTGAGACAGAATCTCACATGCAGGCCCTGGCTGGCCTTGAACCTGCTATATAGACCAGGCGCTGGCCCCAACTGCTACAATTAAAGCCATGTGTCTCCATGTTTGTTGAATCTTTTAAGATAGTAATAGCTTGATCTTTCAAGCTATTCTTTGAACCGTATAGATCTGTAAAACATGAGCCAAATTAGTATCTTGTTCTCCAGAAACCACAAAATTCAGGCTCTAGTACACCTAGGGAAATACATTCTTATACAAGCCAGTTTGTAAAGGAGATAAATTTTGTGTTTGTTTGTTTGATTATGGTTTCCCAGGGTTTCTCTGTGTAGCCTTGACTGTCCTGGAATTTTGTAGACCAGGCTGGCCTTCAACTCACAGAGATTGACCTGCTTCTGCCTCCTGAGTCCTGATATTACAGGAATGCGACACCACCTCCTGGCAGTAAATGGGGATAATTTTAAGGGCTAGAGAGAGGGCTCAGTGATTAAGAACACTTACTGCTCTTGCAGAGGATGTGAGTTCGGTTCCCAGCATGCACATCTGATGGATGACCCCTCCAGTAACCCCAGCTCCAGGGAACCCAGTGCCCTCTACTGGTCTCCTTGAGCACCTTCACACACTTGGCACACACAGACATACATAAAATTTGTTTTACTAATAATTTTTTTTTAATTTGGGAATAGTTTTTTTGTCTTTAGCATATGGCCTGTCACTAAGAAGAACTTCCTCTTTTCCCTTCATTCACCAGCATGTTTTTTCCTTGTGCTAGCATGAAACTAAGTATTCCTGTTTCTAAACTTCCATAGCTAGTGCTTCCTGTCACACAGTTGGGCTGGATCAGCCTCCACTTCCTCCACTTAATAGCTTAGTGCCTTTCTTGCTGAGAACATTGTTAAATAGATCCGAGTGTGATGATTCTCATTTCAAAAATACATGAGACCTTATTACCAAATAGTGAATATGCATGTAATTATTAATGGCCTGGCATGTACATAGAAAACAGTCCTTTTTAAGAGTGATTAGTGAGTTAGATAATTAAATAAATTGTATACCTCCTCTGGTTTATTTTTATTATAAGCCAGTTGGTTGTGTGTTAATGACTGTTACAGTCAGAAATACTGGTACACAATAATAAGGTAATTGAGGTTTTAATGCGCACAAAATACTGATGTAGTTTCTCTTAGTATGTAATGTAGTAACTGAAAACTCAGGACACCATGTAGGTTTGCTTTATTTGTTTGTTTATTTGTTTGTTTGAGACAGGGTTTCTCTGTGTAGCCTTGGCTGGTCTGGACTTACTCTGTAGACCAGGCTGCCCTTGAACTCACAGAGATCTGCCTGCCTCTGCCTCCCTGAGTGCTGGAATTACAGTCGTGAGCCACCACACCCGGCCAACAGGCTTTATTTAATCAGCATATGATTTTTGAGAGTAATCATGATTTGTATTAAGGTAGAATGAGCTGGATGTTCTAGCACATATCTTTAATCCCAGTACTTGAGTGGCAGAGGCAGGCAGATCTCTGAGTTCGAGGCCATCCTGGACTACATAGTTCCAGCGTGGGGGGGGGGTGTAGAATGGCTATGAGATGAATACATTTATCATTTTGTAATTTTATTTATTACTATTCTAAACTGTTGATATTCTTCCTAGTTCTACTGCTTGCCTTTTGCTATTGAATTTATCATGTAGGAAGCCATTTTATTATCTCAGAGTTTGGGCCCTTAAACTATCTTATAGTTACTCTCTAATTCTAGTCTTGAGAAAAATGTTCAATTTCACAGGGTCTGATTGAAATTGCTCCAATTCACAGGGTAATTTTATCTAGATGGTGGCACTTTAGAATACAAGTTTCCCAATCTCCATTTATCTTTCTCGTTTGAGAATGGTGTTTAAGACTGTTAGGATCACTTGATTAGTATCTCTCAGCTTCTGAAAATAATTGGCTCAGTGTTAATGTTTTTTTAAATTGTTGTAATGGGTAGGTAGGGCAGAGAGCACCATACATGATTAAAGGTCTGGGAAAGCTCAGTGTCTACATTATTTGGCATATTAAAGAGAAGGCTGAAAAGGAAATTGAGCCACTGCTTATGAAGTTTGTGTTAATACGTTGACTGGGGATTTTCAGTTACCCTCAGATCTGCTATTTTACCTGGAGACAATTGAGATGCTTTCCTGAGGTTTGAGCTAGCATTGGGTATAAAGAATATGTACCATTTCCTGGCAGGATGAGGAACAAAAAAAGTAAAATTCTTCCTTTTCAAGAAATGGATCCTTGGTAGTCACCCTTACCTCCCAGGATTGGATAATGTAGTGACTGGCACCCATTACTCAAAGTCTGGCCCTTTTTAGATATAAATATATTTTAAATGAAAAGTCAGCAGGCAGTTACGTGTGTGTGTGTGTGTGTGTGTGTGTGTGTGTGTGTGTGTATTGCGGTTGACTTACTAAAATGGATTCCTTATCAAAAGACTATTTGATATGGAAGTATTCCTTCCTTAAGGCAAGTCTGATATAAGAAAAGAAGCCATGTTGTTTAGTACCTTACTAAATAGCCATTTGAAATTTACATTCAAGGTTAAAGCCTAATACTAATGTGGGTTGAGAAAAGTTTTAACGAGGGAGATGCTTTGTAGAAGTAGAGTGGCTGGTTTTCCAGCGCACCTTTCCTCAGCACTTAGGAGGCAGAGGCCAGCCTGGGCTACCCAGAGAGACCCCGTGTCAAGTAGCAGCTTGATGCCTTCACCATTCTAAAGATGTATATAGCTTGGTTTTCTTTGGGGTCAGACCTCTGATACTAAATTTGGAAATCAATTATTTAAGACTTGAAAGTATTTTATTAAAGGGTCAAAATAGTATTTATTCTGATTTTTGAGGCGGGGTTGGCCTCCAGCTCACTATGTAGCGGAAGATGGCTTTTAGTTCCTGATCCTTCATTTCTGAAGTGCTATATTATAGGCTTGTACCACCATGCCTGGCCAAAATAGTATTTTAGCTCATAGAGGTCCACTGCCTCTATCTTCAAAGTACTGAGATTGAGGACGTGTGCCACTATGTCCAACTGAATCTCAGGTCATTAAAAAAAATACATTTATTTTATTTGTGTGAATGACTGTGGTCCACATTTATGTTGGGTGCCTTCAGAGGTCAGAAGATGTTAGATCTCCTTGTACTGAAGTTAAGGTGTTCATAAGCCACTTATGTGGATGCGAAGAATTGAACCCAGGTTCTCTGCAAGAGCAACAAGTACTCTAGACTCCTGAGCCCATATCGGGTTATTTTGATGCCAGAGGATAGTTGCCCAACCTAAGTAGCTTTTTTCACTTAGTCAGTTAGCCCTGACTTTGTTTTCTTTTTTGAGACAGGGTCTTCACTGGCCTTGAACTCCCAGAGGTCCTGCCTCTGCTTCCTGAGTGGTGGGATTAAAGGGGTGTACCATGACACCCAGCTGAAATATTTTCTAGTATATGTTTGAAATCAGATGTAATCAACTTCTGAAGAATACATTTTTTAGATTTAATTATTATGTGTGTGAATATTCTGTGTGTGTCTGGTGGTGTCCACAGAAGTCAGAAGAGACCACTGGGTCTCCTAGAACTGGAGTTTTGGATGGTTGTAAACCACAATGTGGGTGCTGGGAACTGAACCTGGGTCAGCTACAAGAACAGCAAGTGCTCTTAACTACTGAGCCATTGCGCCTGAGCCCTGCACTTGACTTTTTTGCATCTCCATCAAGCGGAGTCACTTATATTCATGGCAGAAGAGTCTAATTTAACACCAGCCTTAGAGAACGTGATGAAAGTGGGCATTTAAAAAGGAGCAC